ATCTCAGGAACTGAGTGCAGACACATGAGCTGATTCTCCAGCCGGTGACCATGAAACCTGTAAAAGAAGAACAAGATGATGTGATTAAAACGAGTCTGTTTGGATTATCATGATTTAAGCACTGAGTCTGTTTTCTTTGCACTTTGTCACATTTACATTCCTGCTGTTTCCACTCAGGTTTCTTTATTTATTTAAATTTGCAAATTAAAAATGTGGTTGAGGGAAAAAAATGAGCAGGATTTATTATTGTTTTCTTGATTCTTATTGATGATTTTGTGAGCAGGACGGTTTTTTGTTGACGGGATCTTTTGGTGCAAACCCTGACATTTAAGCTTCATTAGCAGCGATGAATCACAAATCACAGCTGAGCACTTAATGCAAAAACAAACTACTTCCTGTCTGTGTGTTGCTTCCTGTTGCTCCTCCCTCAGATGTTGGCTTTTCTTGCTCTGCGCTGTCATTCAGTTGTGCCTCATCCAGACCATCCCTGACTCTCTCTATGGCTTTATGTTGGTGTCCTGCTCTTGTGGTGACTTTGTTTTCTGTGATTATGGGATGCTGTGATGTTTCTCATGTGTGGAAAAAGGAAACGCTTGTGCAGGATTGTCACAGGAGGAGTCCAGCATCGCAGCCGGTGTCATGAAACCACTTTTCCACCATCGGTGTTGTTGTTTTAACAAGAAAATGAATAAAATGATTGACTATCAACATCATCCGACCTTTTTGTTTAATCCTGCCGTTCAGTTTGTCTTTTCTCTGACACGTCCATCATATGCAAAGTTCAGCTTTAAATGAAATCCAGTGGAGGTCCATGAGGTCATCCACGACTTCTCAGACATTTAACAGAGTTTAATGATTCTAGATTTACTGCAGCATCCGATCACAATAAAAAAACAGCTCAACTTGACTTACGATTTATTGCTCAGAGTGAGAATGATTATTAGACGCAGTATATTGAATTCTGTATTTCTAGAGGAACCAGAGAATCCCAGAGTTTTAAAAAAATCTTTAGACCAAAATGACCAATAAAAATAATGACTATTTATGTGAGCAAGATGTTTTTTTCAGTTTCTGTTTTGCTTACAAAAGCTTTCAGACCAGTGACTACGGTGCCACATGGAAAAGAACCGCCAGAGGAACCAAAAAAGAAAATCAGACTGTGGTACTAAACATGGAAATATGGGAAATGATGCAGGCACATCTGTGACCATCACAGTTGGAGCAGTGATCAGGAGGTACACAATGAGCCATAGTGCCACTAATCAGCGCTAATCAGGGAAATATTCTAGCATGATCCAAAACCCAACGCTACAATCACATGAGGAATAAAGAACACAAACACTGACCCGGCCAAGTCGACTGACTTAAATCCAACAGAGCACTGGGGAGTGATTTCAAGAGAACGCTAGAAGAACACAACTCCTCCAGCAAAGAGCAGCAGAAGGATGGTTGAACATCTCAGCATTAGAACATGACTTTTGTTCCACTAAGCTCCTCCTGTGAGGCCTTTGTTTCCAACATGGTAAAACTAGAACATGTGAACTCTCCTGTTCAGCTCAGACGAACTGCATGTGAAGAGTTCAGATAACTCCGTCCTCACAAACCTTCAGAAAACCTCCTTTTCCATCGTCTACCTGAGACCACATCAAACTTAATTTATCTGTTGTTGCCATTTCTACTGAGTCAGATCCACTCAGCTTCAGTTTGACTGATTTTATCTCAAGCAGACAACAAAAAAATACGTTTTCTGAAAATTTAAAAACATGAAGTTCTCTGTTTTTGCAAATGAACTCTTGTCTTACTAAAGTCTGCTACAAGTCTTTCATCCTTCATCTTTCCTCCATCATCATCGAGGCAGCAGCTAATAGTCTGTACATGACTGCAGGAACGAGGAGCTTCAGGAGACACTGTGGGTTTGTGGGTTTGTACGACTCTGGTCCCATCTGTTGGTGAAGCGACGAGGCGTTAAGGATCACGACTGTCACTGATCATCAGCCGTCAAACGCACACAGTCAGAACTCCATCACTTCAATTCATCTGAACAGTGTCCCTCAGGACACGCTGAGCATCAAACACTTAAATTCCAGCATTTGAGTGATTTTTATGCATCAGTTTCTATCAAAAATGTCTTCATGAAGGCACCAGGTCCAAGTGTAGCGGAGAAGAAGGCAGTGAGGAGCTCATTCTGTGATGCTTCAGATGTTAAACTTGTCAACTTTTCTCATTTAATATGATCTTTAAGGGGACACATGGACAGGATTTAAACTTCTGTCCTCTTTAAATGCACATGTGGCATCTTTTCACATCAATTAATTTGGTAAATTAATTTATAAACTTATACCTGAGATATGTTTCAGCAGGATTATTTTTATTACAGTCATCAAATAAAACCACCCAGTATAAATACATCTGTATTCTACTGATTAAATGGGGAAATATTTTATTTTAAAACTCACCCACAGGATGGTTTCACATAAAACAACAATGATGTCGATGAAGGAAGAAATGAGTCAAAATAATAATAGCAAACTATGAATAAGTCGTCCATCCATCCATCATCTATCTATCTACCTGATCAGGGTGAAGGCAGGTTCACCTGGACAGGTAACCAGTCTATCACAGGGCTACACTTAGAGACAGACAACCAAGCACACTCACATTCACACCTACGGACAATTTACAATCACCAATTAACCTCAGCATGTTTCTGGACTGTGGGAGGAAGCCGGAGAACCCGGAGAGAACCCACGCTGCACGGGGAGAACATGGAGACTCCACGCAGGAAGATCCCGGGTGTCCTCACCGGGACATGAACCGGTGACCTTGTAGCTGTGAGGCGACGGTGCTAACCACTGATCCACCTTGCAGCCATGAATAAATCAATTCTAATTAATTTTGTAAATTCTGTTTTTACTTCTTTTACTTTTCTGCTTCTCAGCTCATTGGATTCTGCTTCTATCTTTACAGAATGATCAACACAGCAGCCTTCCACCTCTCTGTGTTTCATACGAGCAAAGTTTCCAGATCTTTTAGACCAAAGCAGACAGGAAGCTGAAATTCACTAAATATCTTCCTTGTGGAACGAGGTTCAGATTCTGAAGGCTGTGAGAGTCTCTGTGTGTTTCATAAAGAAGATCTCACATCTGTCAAGCTAACACATCAGACGTCCCCCCACAGAGAGCAGGTTAACCCCTCATGTTCCTCATAGCAGCATAGACAGCTGAGACCGTCACTGTCACACCACGTTTCCATTGGGCTTCACCAGGAGGAAGTTCCCACATCTGTCAAACTGCTGCTGCTAAACGGTTTCCTTCCAACCACATGAATCTTCTGGAGTTCAGCTTCCTATCGCTTAATATCTTCTGTATGGCAACAGGAACACACCCGGACAGCCGGGACTGTTCCTGTCAAGAGCAGTTTCTGAGAGTCCATCACACTGATGCCGTCGACTCGTCTCCCTGCAAGAACCATGATTATCATTAAACATCTTGTTAAATGTGTCTAAAAGAAGAGAGAAAGAGAATCCTCCTGACCAGTGATGAAGGGCTTCGCTGGCTGATGACCCTGGGATCGTCTCCAGACACATCATGAGTCACATCTTCTCCTCTTTGCATGACTCACCTGTGGCTCAATGCCTCCCTCTAGTGGACACAAACAGAACTGATGCTGCAGGGCGACACTGGACCATCAACATTAAATATCAGGAAACCAAATTGTGTCTTTAAGCATTCCCTATTGAATGAAAATGAAAATGAAAATGAAAATAAATAATAAATAAATAAATACATTAATTAATTAAATAAAAACATGCACATATATTGGCTTTATACATGCACATAACCTATCAAACTACTCTGTGAAGTGTTTTTGTAAATAATGAACACTTACCTGATCACGAATAACAAAAAATAATAATAAATATGGGATCAGACGTGCAGAATATCTGCTTTGTGTTACTGATACAAAACTACAGATCACGTGAAAGTCCAAAAGCAGTCACAACATG